TCAAGACCAGGCTGAGCAATATGACAAAACCCCTTTTCTACTAAAAGGACAAAAAATTAGCTGGATGTGGTGGCCCGCACCTGTGGTCCCAGCTAGTGGAGGTTGAAGAGTTGCTTGAACCCGAGAGATGGAGGTTGCAGTGACCTGAGATCCCGCCCCTTGCACTCCAACCTGGGCAATAGAGAGAGACTCCATCTCAAAACAAAAACAAAACAAAACAAAACTCTAGGAACAACAGAAAGGAATGCCAGGGTTAAGATAAAGGATTGTGGAGACCCAAGTTCTCATTTGCAGAGGAAGCCTTCGGGTACTAGGCTACAGAGAGAATAGGTTGTAACATGTTTCTTATCAGACTTCAAGTCTGTGTTGATGTTGATGCCAGAAAGGTATAATAAGGCATGTCTGACCCCCATTTCCTGTCATGGCATGAAACCATCTCTCAGGTTAAATTTTAAAAGAGCCCTTACGGAGGAAGAAGTCCATTCAGATAGTTGTGGGGTGGCAGGGTTAGGATTTTATTTTTGATTTACAAGTCCTATAAGATAAAAGTGCATAAATGTTAAGGAACAATTGTCGTGCCTGATGTATGGACCATGCAAAAAGTTCACCAAACTGTCCAATGCCGTAACCAGAGACATTTGAACGACAAATCAGGGTGAGGGGATGATGTTTCCACACTGTAGACAGCTTTTCCCAAGACGTCGGAATGAGTCTTCATATCATAATGGGGCTCTTACCCCCTTAATGTCTACATTTTTATTTGACAGAACCTGACCCCCAAATCCCATAATTCACCTAGTGGTCCCTTTTATAGAGTTGGCACTCTGCTTTAATTGAACCAGTCCTAAAATGCTACTCAAAGACTACAAGAAGCCTCATTCAATTCCCCCATAGGTTTTTGATTTGTTTAGCTGGTGGTCCTTAGGCTTGGGATCTTGGTTCAAAACCATTGTACAAATTAAATTTATTATACTATTGCTAATTATAGCTGGGTGCGGTGGCTTACGCCTGTAATCCCAGCACTTTGGGATGCCAAGGTGGGCAGATCACTTGACGTCATGAGTTCTAGACCAGCCTGGGTAACATGGTGAAACCCTGTCTCTACTGAAAATAAAAAAAGTAGCCGGGCATGGTCGTGAGCACCTGTAATTCCAGCTGCTTAAAAGGCTGAGGCAGGAGAATTGCTTGAATCCGGGAGATGTAGGTTGCAGTGAGCCGGGATCACGCCACTGCACTTCATCCTGGGCAACAGAGCAGGAATCCATCTGAATAAAATAAATAAAATAAAATAAAATAAAATAAAGCAAAATAATTGTTAATTATTTTTGGATTATGATCTTTGAGCTCTGTTCTTGTTGCCTGTCCAATATTTGTTAAGCCAGTTCTTCCAACAAGATAATGTTAGCCCAGGGCATCAAGAAGTTTGCTAATACAGATGGCACTAACTAGATGAAACTTGATGCTGAACTCCAGATAAATCTCCCTGAATTTTTTTTTCTTCTGACCTCTTTGTGGCTCAAATGTGGCCCATGTCCCTGATATCGACTCCCTTACCTTTCTCTTGACATGGGACAAAGACAACCGGCCCAGGTCCATCCTGACATGGAGTGACAATGAAGCTTCACTGTAAGATGGCTGATCAGTGAGGTTTTCAAAGAAAGATGTTGATCAAAACGGGGAATGTGAAAGCTGATTGTGCAAATGAACCAGCTTCTCCAGTGCCAATGGGGTTCATTTCAAAACAATATGTAACATTTTTCTTTCTAATAAAACTTCCAACTTCTGCTTCTTCTTTGCACATACTGAAGACCACCCTAGTCCGTGTGTATGCCCTGAATTGCAATTTTGTGATTCCCAAATAAAGCATTTGATTTAGGGATTTCTCTCTATAATTTATTTTGACTTTCACACAATTAACCAGTATGATGTGTTGAATGGTTGCCCCGCCCCCTGGCAAGGTGCATATTATACTGAATTTAAAAATTCACTCTAGACTGAGCATGGTGGCTCACGTCTGTAATCCTAACACTTTGGGAGGCTGAGGTGGGTGGATCACGTGGGGTGAGGAGTTCAAGACCAGCCTGGCTAACACGGTGAAGCCCCATCTCTACAAAAAATACAAAATTAGCTGGGCCTGGTGCCGCATGCCTGTAATCCCAGCTACTTGGGAGACTGAGGCAGTAGAATCGCTTGAACTCAGGAGACAGAGGTTGCAGTGAGCCGAGATCCCACCATTGCACTCCAGCCAGGGCAACGAGAGTGAAACTCTGTCCCGAAAAAAAAAGAAATCATTCTATTATAATCCTGATAATTGCTTTGCTTTGCATCTTACTGTGGACTTGCTGGCAATCTAGGTGGCTGTAAACTACCCAGAGAAAGACAGAAATAGCAGCGGTGATAATTAGAAAATTGTATTGTTACTATAAAAGAATAACAAAAGGGGGAAATTGTAAGGGTAACTAAACATAAAATTGAATTTTTCCTGTTGCCAAAACCGCAAGAAGATACCTTTCCCCATTTCACTTTCCCTAGAGCATTTCCTCGAGAAAATTTGTATTTGTAAGTTCTTCCTTTGATCTGTAGGCCTCTGGCCATCCTAGAACCCAGGAGGGTGTTGAACTTGAACTCCAGGCCTCAAGTGATCCTCCAGCCTCAGCCTCCCAAAGTGTTGGGATTACAGGCATGAGCCACCACACTTGTACCCTAGGAATGTCTTTCTTCAGGGCCTTGGAGCCATCTCTTTGAAATGTGAACATCGAGGAAGATGATGTCCCTGTCTCCCTGTCACCAGGGGAGTTCAGCCTAGGTGCCTTGCTCCAAGCTGTAAGCACCTGCTTGTCATAGAGATATGAGTTTTATTTTTCTTTCAGATAAAGGCAATTAACTAATGCAGATGGGTACTCCAATTACTTGGTGAACTTAGGACTTGCCTGGGAGTATTTAGTTTTCACCCCTGGCTGCTGCTGTACAAGCAGGTCAGTTAGCTACATATCCAAACTTTCTGTTTTCTGCTACCATTTTTTATTGTTTCTTTGTTTGGCTTTTGTTTGTTTGTTTTTGAGAGGGAGTCTCCCTCTGTTGCCCAGGCTGGAGTGCAGTGATGCGATCTCGGCTCATCGCAACCTCTGCCTCCCTGGTTCAAGCAATGCTCCTACCTCAGCCCATGGAGTAGCTGGGATTACAAGCACGGGCCACCATGCCAGGCTAAATTTGGACTTTTAGTGGAGACGGGGTTTCACCATGCTCAGCAGGCTAGTCTCAAACTCCTGAACTCATGATTTACCTGTCTTGGCTTCCCAAAGTGCTGGGATTACAGGCATGAGCCACCACACCTGGCCTCTATGACCACTTTTGGATTGTATGAAACACTACACTTCAAAGTGTGGGATCTGGCTCCCCAGACAGCTGCCAAAGGGGCAGGTGATGCAATCTGGAAGTGTAGGGGAGTTCATGTGCATGGGGTAAATTTTGACCAATAAGAAAATAGCCAGGAGTGAGAGACAGGTAGTAAATTCCCTCTCCTCTCCTCCGGCCATGCACCGTTCCAAGCATGGTTTCTCAGTATAGTCTGTCTAGAGGTATCCTATATGGCCCAAAGCCTGTTTTCTTGGGAACCTGAGCTAAAACAATGGGAATTCACATACTCGAAGACAGTGTTAAGTGTTGTGGAGGACCCAGATCTGGGCAGAGGAAAATTACCCCAATAAGGAAATGGATAATTTGAGGTTTTGGAATAGAGGGAAAGACTAGAAGAACCAGTAGTAGAATAGCTTATGGGTAATATTTTTGGAGAAAAGGCAGTTTTGGTGATTTCTGCAGTGAACTGCCCAGCTCTTGTAAAATATATACTTCCTTTCTTTCCATCAGTCTCCCCTATGAAATCTTCCATAAATTATCCTTTTATCACTATCTATTGCCTGTGAAGTGAATTTTCTTTTTTTCTTTTTCTTTTTTATTTAGACATACTCTCTGTCACCCGGGCTAGAGAGTGCAGTGGCACGATCTCGACTCACTGAGATCTCCGCCTCCCGAGTTCAAGTAATCCTTCCTCCTCAGCTGCCCTAGTAGCTGGGACTACAGGCACGCACCAATGCCCGGCTATTTTTTTTTTTTTTTTTTTTTTTTGTATTTTTAGTAGAGATGGGGTTTCACCATCTTGGCCAGGCTGGTCTCGAACTCCTGACCTCAGGTGATCCACACACCTAGGTCTCCCAAAGTGCTGGGATTACAGATGTGAGTCACCACACACAGCCTGTCAGTTTTCTTTTGGAGAATAAAACAGATTGAGTCTTGTGCCAAAATGCAGGGGAAGCTGCACCCAGACAGGTAACAATATATTATATAAAATAATAAGGCTTCTACATACCAATATTAACCATTTAGAAAACCAAACTAAGAAAAATTACACTTATATAGTGACAAAAATACATAAAATATCTAAAACCAGATGGTTGGAGCAAGATGACAGCTAGATCCCGTGCCCCACTCAACATTCCATTGACCTGGGAAGAAATGTTTTCAAGGATCAATTCTTAACAGTAGAGGAAAATAGGAAAACAGGTCAGTGGTCCACCAGAAATATTGAGGCATTCCTGGGAGATAGAGTAGATGGGATCAGACTGATAGGGAAACTCAAAGAGACAAGACCACAGCTCAAATCACTGTAGACAAGAGATGCTGTTTGTTTTTTGAGACAGAAACTTACTCTGTCGCCCAGGCTGGAGTGCGGTGGCATGATATCAGCTAGCTGCAGCATCTGTCTCCCAGGTTCAAGGGATTCTCCTGCCTCAGCCCCTGTACTAACTGGGATTCACAGGCTCAAGCCACCACAGCCAGCTAATTTTTGTATTTTTAGTAGAGATCGGGGTTTCGCCATGTAGGCCAGGCTGGTCTCGGAATCCTGACCTCAAGTGATCTGCTTGCCTCAGCCGCCCAAAGTGCTGGGATTACAGCATAAGTCACCGTTTTTAATAAGTCATTGTCTTTGTTGTTTTTTAGGCTTTTAATTTTTGTTTTTTATTTTTGTGGGTACACAGTAAGTGTATATTCTTATGGGGTACGTGAGATGCTTTGATACCGGCATGCCATGCGTAATAATCACATCATGGAAAATAGGGTCTCCATCCCCTCAACCATTTATCCTTGTGTTACAAACAATCCATTTACACTCTTTTAGTTTTTTTTAAATGTACGATAAAGTTATTATTGCCTATAATCACCCTGTTGTGTGTAATTGTTTGGGGGGTACCAGGAACTGCACCCATAGACGATGACAAACTTAATCGATGAATGTTGTGTGTGTTCTGACTGCTCCACCGATGAGCTCTTCTCTTCTCTCATCCTTTTCTTGGGCCTCCATATTTCCTGAGACACAGCAACACTGAAATTAGGACAATAAACAACCCTACAGTGGCCGCCAAGTATTCAGTTGAAAGGAAGAGTTGCATGTCTCTCACATTAAATCAGAAGCTAGAAATGGCTAAGCTGAGTGAGGAAGGCATGCTGAAAGCCAAGACAGGCTGAAAGCTTGGCCTCTTGCACCAAATAGCCAAGCTGTGTATGCAAAGGAAAAGTTCTTGAAGGAAACACTAATACTAATACTCCAGTGAACAGAAGAATAAGAAAGCAAAACAGCCTTACTGCTGAAATAGAGAAAGTTTGAGTGGTCATGATAGAACATGAAACCAGCCACAACATTCCCTTAAGCCAAAGTCTAATTGAGAACAACACCCGAACTCTCTTCAAGTCCATGAAAGCTTGAGAGAGGTGAAGAAGCTGCAGAAGAAACGTGTGAAGCTACCAGAGGTTGGTTTGTGAGGTTTAAGGAAAGAAGCTGTCTCCATAACATAAAAGTGCAAGGAGAAGCCTGATGGAGAAGCTGCAGCAAGTTATCCGGAAGATCTAGCTAAGATCACTGATAAAGGTGGCTACACTAAACAACAGATTTCCAATATAGATAAAATAGCCTTCTATTTGAAGGTGATGCCATCTAAACCTTTCATAGCTAGAGAGGATTGACTCCAACTTTGAAAGAAGTTCTACTGTGGGTAAAATGCTATCCAATAGCATCACATAGTACAGAGAAATCTTTCATGAAAGGGAGAGCTAATCAATGTGGCAAATTTCATTGTTGTCTTCTTTTAAGAAACTGCCACAGCCACTCCACCCTTCACCAACCACCACCTTGATCAGCCAGCAGCCATCAACACCGAGGCAAGACCCTCCACCAGAAAAGAGCATGACTCCCTGAAAGCTCAGAAGTTTGTTAGCATTTTTAAACAATGAATTATTTTAAAATTAAGGTATGTATTTTTTAGACATAACGCTATTGCACATTTAAGAGACTACAGTATAGTGTAAGCATAATGTTTTTATGCACTGCGAAACCAAACAAAAAAAAAAGTGTGAGACTCTCTTTATTGCAGTGGTCTGGAACCGAATCTACAATATCTCTGAAGTACACCTGTATTGGGTATCAGGCATTGAGCTGAGTAAGACATGATCCCAGGTTATCAAAGATAGAATTGCTTGAGCACGTTTCATGTCATCAGGACTTCGGGATTAAATTTAATGCCTCCAAATAATTTATGAACTATGATTCTTTATTTCCATCTTATGGACAGGGAAACTGGAGCTGAGAAAATTTGGAAGACTTGCCCCAAGTCACGTGGTTTTTTATATGGATGACAACTCCAGTCTGTGTCTCTGGAAGTCATGTTTATCATCTCATCTGGAGCTGGGCAAGCTCCTCAGCCCAGCCTGAACCCAGGCTTTTCTGGGATCCATGCCACACACCCAGTCCCCACACCTGAACATAGCCAGGGAAGCCAGAGGGGTTGTTCCCGATTTGTTTCCTCTTACCAGGTGTCTTGTTAATCTTCTCAGAGGTACTTGGTTTTCCTGGGGGGCACAGCTGTTTCCCATCATTTTGTGGGCCAGATGCTTCTGACATTCCCTTCGAATCATTTCCTTCCTCTGCTGGCTTCTTGGGCACGATCTTTGTAATGTGAAGGTCACAGATAAACAGTATCAGTGACATTTCTATAGTGCTTTAGAGCTTACAAAGCGTCTTCACATGCATTACCTTAATCAATGTTCTCAACAATGCTGGAAGAGTTACACATGCCTAAATGAAGAGAAACCTGGGAAGTTAGAAGGGAAAGGAATGCCCTAAATGAATAGGGTTTCCAGGTTTATCTTCACACTCTTTTAAGACTGACATTCTTGCAGACAGCAAAAATCTCCATGTAATTGAGAGTTTTGTATACAGAAGATTTAGAGAAGAATAGCATTCTAAGAATTCACAAGGTCTACAAAGGGAAGATGTTCTGTAAAATACAAGGGATCCCATATAAGCTTGTAGACAGCTGCTGGGAGAGTAAATGTAAAAACATAGGGAGGTGACAAAACACTGCTGGGAAAGATGGTGTGGGGAGACGAATACAGGGAAGGGAGAGGTAAATAAATGGTTTGTTGAAATTAATCTAGACAGCAAAGAAAGCAGTACCAGATATGGCATACCACCCTACCGAGGCACCAACATTGAATGTGGAATTACCTGAGGTTGTACTCATAACAATTCTGGTTGCACTGGGATGTGTCACTGACCACCAATCTTATGCTGCTACTTCTTCTTTTTTTTTTTTTTTTTTTTTTTTTTTTTTTTTTTTTGAGACGCTGTCTTGCTCTCTTCCAGGCTGGAGTACACTGGTGCCATCTTGGCTCACTGCAACATTTGACTCCTGCATTCAAGCGATTCTCCTTCCTCAGCCTCCAGAGTATCTGGGGCTACAGGGAGGTGCTACCACGCCCCGCTAAATTTAGAATTTTTAGTAGAGACGAGGTTTCACTATGTTGGGCAGGATGATCTCGATCTCTTCACCTTGTGATCTGCCCAGCTCGGCCTCCCAAAGTGCTGGGACTACAGTCGTGAGCCACCATGCCCAGTCTTTAAGCTGCTTTGTATTCAGCTTTCTCACTTATGAAATAGTGAACAATACATGTAAAACAGGCTAAGGGAAAGTCCTCTCTGAGCTTGTAAATTCTGTTTAAATGTAGTCATAATAACAATTAATACCTTTCATGATCCTTTTTGAATTCAGTCTCCACGCTGGCAGCCCAACTCCCAGATCCCTTTACCCTCTAAACCAGAGTTGAATCTGCACTTGTGGGATCACTCATTCAGGGGCCTCCGAGGGATCACTGGGCTGGGACTGGGGCTTCCCAGATGCCCCAGGTGCAGACAAGGCACTCAAGGAGCTCACAGTAGGGAGGGACCAACAGTCAAAGCAATTCCTAAGCCATGCAAGCGGCCCCGGTAACAGAGCACAGGCCAGCTGGTCCTTCCTATTGCGAGAGTGTGTGTCTCAATGGAAGCACCAGCAGGCCCTATGGGGTAAAGCCCTAGTGAGCAACATCTGAACTTCATAAACAAATGCAAACGTGAATGAGCTTTAAATGGCTTGGAGCTCTGGATTAGACTACCCCTGCCACTGTGCCCCAGGAAAATTCTTTAACATCTCTGTACCCCGATAGCCTCATTTTATTATTATGTTGCTGTTAGCTATGATCTAAAACATGAACTATGATTCTTTACTTCCATTTCACGGACCAGGAATCTGGAGCTCAGAGAACTTAGAAGATTTGTGCCATGTCACGTGGCTTTTATATGGATGACAACCGAAGTGTGTGACTCATTATTTGGAGATAATAATAGAAACAACATCATAGAGGTCTCCTTAAGGATTAAATAAATTAATCCATGTGAACTGCTTAAAATAGTATCTGGCATCTCTATGAAAACAAAAGAAGTATTAAGGATCACAACTCTTAGTATTATTAAGCCGTCGATGCTACATTAGGCGTTGTGATACACATGGGGGGAAGGAGGCAGTGAGGGCATTTTTGATATTCTCCCACTCTTACCAGTGTTCACATCCGTGAAGAGACAAAGTTCTCTGGTCCTTTAGATTTGAGAGATACTCACTTTCAGGAAGATTCTCTGTAGCCTGCTGAAAGTCATCTGAGGACTTTCAACTAAAAGAGAATACATCAGAATTTTTCTTGGTTGGTAAAGGTTTCCAAACTTCAGAGAGACTTCTGTCGCATGAGGGCATTCTGCAGCGGAGGGTTACGAGTGCACTCATCATTGAGGAGTTTTTTGAGATTTGCTTCTGAATTATGTTTAGTCATGGTTGGTCCATTTATCTGTGGGATCAGTTCAAACTTGTCCATCTCATAGTTTATCAAATGGGAACTAAACCCCATCATAGTCTCATCTTATTCCATTACATATCTTTTACTTTTTCCCAAATAATTAAATTAAATTGATTGGTTGGGAATCTGAACTGTATCCACTCAAGAAGTACAACTAAAAATCACTGTACACTTCAAATGGGTGAATCTTATGGTATGTCAATTAAGCTGTTAAATGTGTGATGAATCATGGATGATTTAGTTCAGTGGCTCTGAAATATTTTCAGTATAAAGACACTCCTTTAATATCAAAAACTTGGCAGATACTAAAGCACTGGATTTTCAGACCTCTTATAGTGATTGTGGGAGAATGTAGAATCTGACCTGTTTAGTTGAGGAGTAATAGGTCTATTGGAGACAGTTTGGACATTCTGACCTTGTCTTATAATTGTGTTGTCAGAGCAGAAGAGCAAGTAAACACATATGTCCCCTTAATAGTCCTGAAATGCACAAAGATCTCTACGCAAAGGGATTATTCTTTCAAACTCACTTCCAAGCTCATCACGGAGAATTGGGGTTGTTTGGGAATGAGAAGAGTATTTGGTTTTGATAAAATGCAGAAAAACAGTGATCTTTATTACATAATGTGTCCATCACCCTCACTCATAAGATACCTATCCAATACCCATATGCTGTTAATGAGACAAACTCTGGAAGTTTTTGGCGGATCTACAGTTTTAACATTTTCTTTCTTTTTTTCACTTGTAACATTTTCTTAATTGTCCTTTGATTCATTAACAGTGCTTAGAAGAACAACATGTTCTTTAAAAAAGAAATATTTCAAACACACAGAAAAGTATAGGAAATAATATTGAGTCCAGTCAGATCTCAACAATGCCCCACAGCTATGTTAGGTCTGATTTATTTATTCAGAATATTAGAAATACTACAAACAGGCCGGGCGTGGTAGCTCACACTGGTAATCCCAGCACTTTGGGAGGCTGAGGCGGGTGGATCACCTTAGGTCAGGAAGTTTGATACCAGCCTGGCCAGCATGGTGAAACCCCTTCTTTACCAAAAATAAAAAAATTAGCTGGGTGTGGGGGTAGGCACCTGTAACCCCAGCTACTCCGGAGGCTGAGGCAAGAAAATCACTTGAACCTAGGAGGTGAAAGTTAGAGTGAGCTGAGATTGCCTTATTGCACTCAAGCCTGGGCGACAAGAGCGAACCTCCACCTCAAAAACAAACAAAACACACTATCAACAAGTCACGGCTGAAGCTGTCTGTGCAGCGCTCACCAATCCCTGCCCTCCCTCCCTCCTCCACTTACAGTCAGTCACCTTAATTTGATGGCTTTTTATTCACATTCATGTTTGTATACATTTACCATTTACTTATTATCCATAAAAATATATGGTGGTGGTATGGTGACTTGTATGGTAGCTGAGGCGGGAGGATTGCTTGAAGCCCAGATTTCGAGGCTACAGTGAGCTATGATTGCACTACTGCACTCTAAGCTAGATGACAGAGTGAGAGTCTGACTCAAAAAAAAGAGAGAGAGAGAGAGAGACAAGCCGAGAGAAAGATGGTAGGGTAGGTGTGTCTGTTTGGGGGTTTGGGGATAGGGTGCCAGGATGCCACAGAGACAGTTGGACTCATCAGAACAGACGCCTAAGGGAGAGAAACGTGCAGGATACAGGTATGAGCTCCACTGTGGCCAGTCCCTGCCCTCGGCCCTGACAGGATACAGAAGAGCAGAACACCCAGAAGCTGTCTTGCAAATTTTCTCTTCACAAAAGGAAAATGTGGGGTACTTTCTGCAGCCTAAAAAGTAGCCAAAGCAGAAAAAGGGATGCTCACGTGTCCCCAGACTTGTGTGTGCCTAGAACGTTCTGTTACTGAGTTTAGTCATGGCCTCATACTTTCTCTTCATATACACAGAGATTATTTTCTCCAAGGCTTTCATCTTTTCCCACTTTTTCTTAGAGAAGTATTTGGGAATATCATCAAAGGCCTAGGAAAAAAAGAAAAAGGAATTCTGGCAGTGTCTCAGCTAGGGATGTCTGCCATTCAGCTGGAGCCGCTTCCTGTGTGCTGGATCTGGGAAGTGGGGATGATAATCCGTCCTGGTTGATGCCATGGCTAACTGACAGAACCTGGGGGACCTACACTAGCTTGTACTCTGCCACACAGTAGGGCTTTAATGCTGCTGGCTGACTCTCTTCCCACCTTCCAGAATGGAGTGAGAGTCACCAAATGAAGTGCAAGATCACAGACTTGTCTCCAGGGATACTAGGTGATGACAGAGTGAGGGTGGGAAGCTCCCAAGGGTCCAGATCTCCCCCGAGACCCTGCTCCTTGTCCCCAGTATCTCTGTCCTCCCCTCCTCAGAAACCTGCTCACTCCCACTGTCCCCTGGGCCACTGCTTTGCCCCCTCCAGGTCACCTCATCTTTTGTATCTTCTCTGGTATTTGAGCATCATCCCTGGGCCTCTTTGCACAGGCGTCATCTCTATTAACGGCACCAAGACCAGTCTGACCTGCAAGAGAAACAGCCTGAGTCTTTAGGGAGAAATCTGTGAAGGCCGGTCACACTCAGTCACCTGGAATCAGGTGTTGCATTTCTCCATCCAGGGCTTATCTGTCCGTGAGTAAGGGGAGAAGTCAGATGGAAACAGGGAGCCAGGGGTCTCTGGGAGAAGTGTTGATTGGGGATGACAGGTTTCCTATGGGCATAGCAGCCTTGAGTCTTTGGGAGGGGGTTGGCTACTGTTGTTAGTAGTTTCCCCGGGACTAGGCTTACCCTGAAAGATGTACAGACCCCTGTTGGGGAGGCAGAGATGTGACTGTGTAATTGTATTGAGTGGGGGCATTCTGACACCCCCACTCAATATATAAAGTCCCAGAGATAACATGGTCTCTCTGGTGATGGATCTGTTCAGGCAGAGGGATGCGGGGTTCTGTTCTGTTGAAGAGAAATGAGTATCTCTAATATGAACGGGTTTAGAGGCTATTAATGGGTGACTTGTAAATTATTAGAAGGAAGAGAGCTAGAATTTCTGAGACTACAAGAGCCCGCCATCACTTAGAGAGAATGTGGGGCATTTCAAGATGCAACAATCAGCCAGGAGCAGTGGCTCACACCTGTAATCCCAGCACACTGAACAATCCTTCTGCCTCTATCTCAGGACTACAGGCATGCACCACCCCACCCCGACTAAAATTTTTATTTTTGATTTTTTTAGTAGAGACCGTTTGCTATGTTGACCAGGTTGGTCTCGATCCCCTGGGCTCAAACAATACTCCTGCCTCAGCTTTGAGATTACAGGCATGCAATACCCTGCCTTTTGCTATGTTTCCCAAGCAGGTGAGCCACTGGGCCCAGTCAGTAGTTCATTTTTATTACTGAGTAGTATTCCACGGTACAGATGTACCACAGTTCAACCATTTGCTTATTGTAGAACA